ACAATGTATATGTTGCAAGATTCACTTTCTAGCTTGATTCCAATGGAGCACTGTTGGCTGTTTGCCATGACTAAGAAACTGAATTACGGAACAAGATTCAGTAATTATTTAATCTAAATTTAAAATAATTTTAAGTTTAAACAACTGGTGTTTTAAAACTATATTATTACAACATAAATGATGTTACAAATCTATATTTATACATCATAGCAGGCATAGCAAAACTATATTTTTACATAACAATTCTCTTCAAAACTTCATTTATATGTCAAAGCCAACCTCAATAAATTGTTTTTTCACACCACAACTGAAACCATGAGAGTCGGGGATTCTTGAAAACCTTACCTCGTTATAGGGTTAAGTGATTTTTTACCATTATAAAATAAAATTAATCAGTTTGAATTAGGTTGTTTTCTTTTTTACTTTGGATTCAGCATCTTCAAAAATGGTTAGGTGCTAAGTCAGTTTCTTCCACTAAAACTTAAATTATTTACACATATACAATTGCTAAAAAATCTATGACAGAGAATTTGAGTCAAAATAAGAAATTTTTTGTCTAAATTTCAAAATGACATATCTTTATAATGCTTTAAGAAACCAAACCATCTTTTTTATAATAATAGTCTAGGATTACCTTCTTCATTTGAAAAAAAAATTGAATCTATGAAACTTGGGCTACTCCAGGAATTAATGCAAGCACAACCCATGGTAACAGAACAAAAAATTTGACTGACCATTTAAAAATCAAATAATAACCATCAAAAAATTTAAATTTCACTATTTTCTTTACATTTTTGAATTCAGCACCCTCGAAAATGGTCAAGTACTAATTTTTAGCCTCATTCTTCCACTAAATCTTAAATTATTCAGTAAAAAGTACTACTACAAAGTCCATAATGGTGGATGTGGAAAAAAATAGAGCGTTTTAGGCTGAATTTCAAAATAACTTTTGAACCACTTGGATTTGAAAGCTCAAACTTTACATTTTTTCATGTTACATTGATAGGTACCACTGGGTGAAATTTGAAAGAAATCTGAGAGGGTGACTAAAAAATTTCAATTTTTTTGTCCTAGTTTTACATGGAATTACCCAGCTGCATATTGCTTGGCAAAATTTAATCTTTGAAAAACTCTGAAACTTTATACCTTTTGGCTTGTTCTTTGTTTGATAAGGCGGAATTTTGGTTGATGATCGTTGAATACTAATTGCTGCTTTCTTATCCTTAAAGCCACTCTTTGGTATTATTTTATGACCATACAAACAGTAGTTTTGCTAGATTCAGATGCTTTAGCGATTGAAAGTAACGATGCAGAAGAATTTGGTAAATTGTTGTGCAGACTTTTTTTTGTTTTTTTAAACTGTTTCAATGAAAATTTAATTAATATAAAAAAAATTTGGACTCGTTTGTTGATGGTTTTAAGTAATACTATAATTACTTAAAGTAATTACGCAAAAAAAATACATTAAAAATGTGTTAGTGACAAATTTTAATATGAAATTCATTGTTCCAAGTTTAACAATTGCATGCTTTAATATAGTTTTAAAGATATGAATAACCTTTGATCATTAAATCGTGCATCAAATATTTAACAGCATTACTATGCATCAAATATATGCATCGTGCAATCTATGCATCGTGTATCGTGCATCTAATATTTAACAGCATTACTATAAAAATATAATATAAAGCAATATATGTAATAATGTAATTTTTCCATATATAATTTACTTTTTTTTTTAATAAAGCATATTAAGAAATATTATTAAACGATAGTATTTTGTTGAGTACAAAATCATTAAAATAATCATTTTTATTACGTTTTGGCAAGACCGTAACTGTCAGAAAAAATTCAATGTTAAACAATAAATGAATAAAATTTATCTAGAGTAAAAATAATATATATACATTCTATTCCTTTAAAAAAAAACATGAGAGCAGAGAGACGCTTGGTTTTTGCGGCTCCGGCTCTACCAAAAAACAGCAGCTCCCCGGCTCCGGCTAGGCTCCACAAGCCATCATATAGTTTTTTATAAAAACAAATGATCTTAGTTATATTTTAAAAGTTCATTCATTTCTCTTCTTCTTTGTGAATAAAAATGTCATCGCATATAAAAATTTTTACAATCGTTTTATTAACAAGTAGGAGAGTGGCAAATCATTTAAAAAGACTTTGGTAATTAAACTTGGAATATTTGGATAATTGTTAAGTTAAGATTATAGTTTTTTAAAATTATACTGCAGTTTCTATCTTTTACTCAGTCTGAGCCTCAGAGTTATTAGTGTGCGCTCTACTTAGTGAAACTTACTAAGTAGAGTGCACACTATTTCTTGTTTATCAAATTTATTTAATTTTAGAAAAACTTTTTTAAGAAATAATGATTTCAGGAGACATTAGTTCAGAAAGTCTGCCTAGTAGTATTTGTTAAAAAAGAAGATGATGATCAGATGTATGTTCGGTATGACTCTAACAAGACAAGAATAGAAGCCATAATCTTAGACAAAGAAAAAATGTTTTATAAAACAATGTTTTTTATAGAAGATTAAAGTGGGTATCAGCATGTAGAGAGCTTCAGAAGAAAACATAAGAGGTAGAAGTAAGAAAACTTAGTTAAAGAAAGAAAACGTTTGAGATTTTTATATTAGAAACAGCATAAAAGAGGACTAAAGGCTAAAGCTCGATGATGATGATGATGATGATGATGATGATGATGATGATGATGATGATGATGATGATGATGATGATGATGATGATAATGATGATTGATGATGAGGATGATCATGATTATGATCATGATAATCATGATGATTATGATAATGTTATGTTTAAATATACATGCATTAAAATTTAACATGAACTTCAAATAAAAAAAATATTCTTTAAAATGTATCAATGTTTATGCAGCCCCGGGCACTAACTCAAGCCCAGCTTTTTTTTATTAAACCTGCCCTTGGCCCCGGTTAAATTTTAACCTTACTAGCCACCCAAAATATAGTAGATTAGTGATTATTTTGATAATGACTGGTTGATTTAAACATAAAAAGATTTATGTTGGTTTACCATTCTAATACATTGTACCAGAGTTAATAATTAGGCCAAAAGTAGCAAAGCTAAGACCATGTTACAAGTCCAAGACCAAGGCCAAAAGTTACAACGACAAGACCAAGGCCAAGAAAAAGAGTTTTAAAGCCAAGGCCTACGCAAACATTTTCAAGATCAAAGACTTAAATTTTTGCTAACATTAAGGCCAGTTATTAATAAAACTGTAGGTAACAATTGCTGTGACAATTAACCACATGTTGTAAAAATAAAGCAAGGTTATGGACAAAATTCTAAGTCAGTAAGAAAACATACTCGTAGATATGTATGAAAGCCAAAAGCAAAAATACATAAAAATAAAAAATAAAATCTTTTAATTCTTTAATTTTATGTTGTTTTTTTTTTTTTTTTTTGAAAACCAAGGCCGTAGTGTAGGGTTTTTTGAAAACCAAAGCCACCTTTAGGGTGGTTATTATTTTTTTTAGGGTGGTTATTATTTTTTTTTAGGGTAGTTAATATTTTTTTAGGGTGGTTATTATTTTTAGCTAGAGAATTTGATACAAGTCAAGGGGAAAAACATGTTATAACATGTTTTTTTCCTCAACTTGTAACAACAATTTTATATTTTTATAACAACAATTTTATTTTTTGATATACAATTTATTCATGATTTTTAAGAAACTAATTTGCTATGTATGCAAAAATAGTTAATTTTTCTTACGTGAATTGATTTTCACGCCTTTTCACTTTTAAAAATGATTTTGCTATATTTGACATTTTTTCTCAATACTTATATAGAAGCAAAATAAGAAAATAAATTGCTATTTATTTGTAAAATACATTATTTGATTAATAAATTTTGTAATGATGGAAGAAATTAAATAAAAGAATACAATGCTTTTTTTTATAAATATATTTACAATATTTGTTTTTGTCTGAAATTGTTTCCTTGTATATTGCCCAATTTTCAAGGTTAAGACAAAATACTAGAGATAATAAACATAATTACTGTGTTTGAAAAAATGTATTTAATAATTTTTTTGAATGTTTTAAATAGATTCCTAAAATTTTTGTTACAAAAGATAAGTAAATTAACATTGCACTACCCCACAAGCTTTTGGAGCGTTGATAACAATAGTTCATCAGGAAATAAACTATCAGGTTTAAATGCGCAATTTAGAGAATCCAACCAAAGTTCAGACTATTTCAATGGGCGTAGTGAAAACAACAGAATACATTGTTTATTGTTTTACATGAAAAACTTGTTAAAAAATAAAAATTTAACAAATAAGCAGCAAGTAGTTTTCTTGCTTTTTCTGTGTTATATATAAAAACAGTAAAGTTTAGCAAAAATATTTAAAAAACAAATTTCAAAATCGTCCATATTTCTAGTGCAAATAATAATTTTTTTTCTTAATTTACTGACTGGCAAAATAATAAATTGTATATTAAAAAATGTTTTTATTTTCATTATATTTTCTTCTGCTCTTTTCCTCGACTTGTATCAATTTTAGTAGTTGAAAATAACGCATTCCTTAAAAAAAAGAAAATAAAAACAGTAAAATATATTATTTTTTGACAAAATTTTTCTTTTCCTAATTTTTAAATTTTTTTAAATTTTTTGTTTTATTTTTTTATTTCATATATTATTTGTTTCCTTTCTTTGAGTATTGCTGTTTTATTGTCTGTAGTTTCTTATAGCTTTTTTTTGCTGCAAATTCTTATAACTCTTACTATATAAAAATGTGGTCAAGTTGTATAAAAAAATTACTTTAAACGTGGACAAACAAGGCGTGCAACACATCCCTCCTTTTTATACTTTAGATAATTTAAAACTTTTTTAATCTTTTAAATGTTTAAAATGCAATGAAATGTTAAAAAAACTTTTTAATTAACTTTTTACGCTTATTGTCAAATGCTTTTCAATAAACTGATACAATTTTTTTTTACTTATTATAAAGGCATCATTTGTGGTTGAGGAAGTCAGCAACATTATTAAAGAGGTAACACTTAATAAAAAAATTTTATGCCTAGATATGTGGTTATATATATATATATATATATATATATATATATATATATATATATATATATATATATATATATATATATATATATATATATATATATATATATATATATAGATATATATATATATATATATATATATATATATATATATATATATATATATATATATATATATATATATAGATATATATATATATATACAAATGGTATTGCATACTAAGATAAGCAATCTGATGTCATACTGAAATAGCCTGACTTGCAGTGGAATGCTGCTACATCGACTGAGGGTTTGGGATGAGGCAGCAATCGTTTTATTCATCATTCTTCATTTTTTTTCTTTTTTTTAAAAAAAGCTGTATGGGTTAAGGTAAGCAAAAAAAGTGAGCAAATGCTTATAAAAATACGCTTTAGTAAGTGTGTGTGTGTGTATATATATATATATATATATATATATATATATATATATATATATATATATATATATATATATATATATATATATATATATATATATATATATATATATATATATATATATATATATATATATATATATTAATATATATATATATACATATATATATATATATATACATATATATATATATATATATATATATATATATATATATATATATATATATATATATATATATATATATATATTCACTGTATTTACCACCATAAGGCCATGGTGATTAAACTCTGAAACTTTGAAATTGAATAACAAAGCTGTTGCGCCGAGAAACAAGTTAGTAAAACATGGTAGAGATCAAACTCAGAACTTTTTGCTTCTTTATGAAGGAAGCACTGCGCCTCAGCTGCTTTTTTCAAAACTTTATCTAAAATATATTGTATTTTTGTATTATCTATTATTAATTTTTTGTTTTTAAGTCTATAGAAGGTGCAATTGGAGGAAATGCTTATCAACACAATAAAGTGAACCAGTGGACATCCAGTGTAGTTGAACAATGTTTAAATCAACTAACCAAACTTGGAAAGCCTTTTAAATATATTGGTAAATCTTTTTTCATTTTTTTTTAATTTGATATTTATGAGCTTTTAATTTAGTCATGACACAATTCAGATAACTATTTTAGAAACTTATACCTCGTATGTTTAAGGTTTTAACACAAATCATCTTGTTTACACTTACAATTACCATGCTGTTTACACAATTTAGGAATGTTCTATTTTTAGATTTTAACATAGTTTATATTTTCGCATTGTTAAGATTTTCTGCTATAACCTGATGGAATCTATGTCATTTAATAAATAAAAGTATTGTTGCATAATCTATAAAGACTTTTATTATTTAGTGCATTTATATAAATAACATCTAGTTATTTAGATTATTGGGTGCAAAAGCGTAAAAAAAAAATGTTAAAACCACTGATATTGAAAAGGGGCTGTCAAAAACATTGCAAATCACTTCAGAAGGAATTCGATGCAGTTACTACTCTGTCATTTTCTTATTACCCTGGTTTGCTGGAGTTAATTTAAGATTATGTAGCTAATGATTGTTTAATAAACATATTAAGACATGGTATTATTAGGTTTTAAGTAAATAAAATTATAATAGTGCTACTATTGAATGAGAATTAGTTGTGATTATTTGAGGGCAGTCTGTGTTAAGCTTTTGTAAATTTAAAGCCCTTACAATGGTAATTGCTGTTGTTTACATATCTGTCTTGGACAAGCATTTATTTAAGTTGTTATAGACATGTTGGATTTTTTTAAACTACAGGGTTTAACATAGACAAAGCTAACAAAAATTTTGCTGTTCACTATAGTTTACAAGATTTTCCAAAAATTTACTGCTTATGCAATTTGTGAAAATTTACATCTTCATAATTGTTTAACAGAATTAAAATTTGTATTAGAAGCTTAGGAAAAATCAGTTCTTAAACCCTAAATATAACACAGTACACATTGGATCATTAGTGGAATTGATGACATCTTTATAACCCTCAAAATAATACAGTACAAAATGGATTTAAAAATCAATGATGAATTAAGTTATTATACAGCTTAGCTAAATTTTTGTGAGTCGTTAAAAAAACTTAATTGAATGGGGTTTTTTCAAGTTTAGGAAAATTATCTTTTGTAATCCATTTATCTATTTGTTTAGATATACTTGCACCAATGAGATGCTTGAGTAATGGCTTCCAGCAAGATTTACATGATCCAGTAAATGCTGTCTGGAGAGTGCAGCAATTTATTTAAAAAGTAAAAAAATTTAAACCACTGTTTGGTGGAAAGCAAAAAGTTTTTTAATAAAGCAAACTATTTTAACTTAGTACAATTAACTGAATTTTAAAAATTTTGTTTATCCAAACATTAGTTTGATGCAATTCATTTAAAGTCCATTTATAGAAAGTCTACTTTGTAGCTTAGATGGTTATAAAAACTGCCATATTTGAAAGAGTTATTAATTTAAAAAATTAACATTCTTATATTTTTGAACTCCAAATAATACAAAAAAATTTTTATAACAAAAAAACATTGTTGGAGTACAATTAGCCAATCATTTTTTTTAATTTGGAGCATCGGGTCCTGAAAAATAAATTGATTCTTTAGGTCAATCAAAGTATGTAATCAAAGTAATATTCAGTTTTTCAAGTGAAAGTCATAAAGAATACACATAGAAAGAAACACAAAGAACTTATTACAAAAAACTTCCTATTTACCAGGCCTGTGGAGTTGTGGAGTCGAAGTCGCAACATTTTTAGCATAGTTGGAGAAACAAAATCGCGACTCCAACTCCAATAGTAAAACTTCATGGGTATTGCACGTGGATGTACAAAATATTTAACCTTTAAAGAATTTTTCATATATTTTGCAAAAAAAATTATTATTTTTCATTACCGCGTAATATTTTTTTGAATGAATTTAAAGAGTTAATCAAAAATTTTGCTTTGGAGTCAGAGTTGGTGTCGCAGTCGTACTCTGAAAGTTTAAACAATTAGAGTTGCAGTTGGTACTTTTTTTTTACGACTTCACATCCCTGCTCTTTACTATAAGGCTTTCTATAAACTTTTGTATTTCTATATATCTTACTAAATGCTTCCTGTTCTACATAAAATGCCTAATTTATAAAAATACTAAATTAATAAAAAAGAGTTATTTTAGTGACTTGTGTAATAATGCAAAAGAATGGTGCAGGTCTTCATACTGCAAGCTCATGTTACTGGGATAATGGCTCAGACGGTACGTGTAATATTTTTTAGTATTAATT